TTTCTCAATGAATGATGACGTTATACAAACAGAGGAGCAGATCAGATTACTACAATAAGCCAAATCCCTGCGAAAAATTTAAAATTAACTACTAAAAGATTAAAGCTTTAAATCTATTCGCTTGTCTGTTAACGTGCTGCTGGCTGTATTTATTATTTACTGGCACGAAATGAATTTGAAATGAGGAGCTTGATGGCGCAATGGTTAATGCATTCAGTCACTAGCAATGGTAAGAAACTTTAGCAATGGTCGGTCATAGGATGGGTGACTAAAATCTCGAGCTCCTTCTTGCTTAATAAGACACTTTAAGCTATCGGTCCCGGCTGCATGTGCAAGCGTTAATACCCACCAATCCGCACTGAGCCGGCGTAGTTGGTAATGGATCATTTTCCCTATTTGATCCGTCTATAGGTAAGATTTAAACCTCGATGTGGACATTGATGGTGATCGTGTTGATGGATAATAAATTAGTGTTTAAAGTTAAAATATTATACTTTACAGCACAGAACTCAAGCAACAGAAAAGAAATACACATTTTAAAAACAAAATAAGAAATTTAAAGTTTCACATTCAGACCCTAAAGAATTTCAGGTCCACCCGTATAGACGTTTTAAATTGCATAAGTTTTTAAATTAGAGGGAATTATATATACCGACTTTGGATTCTTCTGAAGTTTCTCTTGTCCGGAGTCTCGAGCACCAATAAATTGTTCAAGGAGAACAAATAACTTGACTTAAGAAATTAGCTGAAGTAATTGTTGAAAAGGGAATAGAGTTTATAACTGAGGAAAGATGAGGCAGACGTTTTTTGTATAATGATTAGCCATCGTTGCCGTTCAAAATTTCAGATTGCTTTGTCTGTGAATTTTATAAGACATTTTAATAAGGTCGCTAAATTAGAATTTTTCTGTTGTTATAAAATGAAAAAAAAAAAAAGATATTTCTAGGTTGATTGTTCAAGCTCTTGTTCCTCTTAATATTTTGACTTATTATTTTTTAATTCTAATCGTTTTCATTTTAGCAATAGTTTCCCAAGAATCTGATTTGTGTACCTAAAGACCTGAGGATGGTTGGATCCATCTAGTAGTATAATGTAGTATTCCCTAATATACATCAGCGCGTGGACGTCGAGCACAGCTCTGTCATAGCATAAAGGCTTAATTTGATTGAACCTTATATGCTTTGAAAGCGGGGTGCTTGACTTTTAATTGGAGATGGGTACAAAGTTGAGCCCAGACGACATAGAAAATAATTTTCTATATTGATCCGGGCAGGAGTCATACCAGGTCCAGAGAGATGGCGACACTTAGACGTGGTACCTCGGCCTGTAAACGTCTCTGCCACAGAAATAACACTAAACGAACCTCTGTAATTATTTATATTATCAGTAAAATACTTTCAAAAATCTGTAATATAAGGTAACCGAGTTCAATGTGTTTTGCAAATCAAAGAAAAAAATATTAACAAATATCCAATTTAATCAGTGAAAAATATTTAGTGTTTCATATTAAATTACTGTTTATATTTTTTTTACATGGCAAAGTCATGAAATGAAACAAGATCAAATTCGAATTGAAATAACGTAATAGATTCCCGAATGTTATTCGATTTTGAACTTACTTTTTCTGGACAACACAACTTTTATGCAATTACTGGTCGATGCAAAGTGATGCTTCAATGAGCGATGCTTAATCACATCGATAAAAACTGAATGACACTCTTTCATAGTGTAGTGAACAAAAGGCAGTTAAGTTTTATCGACACCAAGTTTCTTGTTCGGTACTTCATTTGTGATGGTGTATCTGGTTAAACAATGATCGTAATCGGATAGGAAGCGAATTATTTGCTATAAACAGCAATTGAATTTGATGAAAGCATACTTGATTATTTTAAATATGAAAATAGTAGATAAGAATTATATCACAAGAATGTTCGCTGTAAAGTTATTATTGAAACAAAAAAAATACATAATAGTCCCGTTTTTTTTTAAATTGATGATAAAACAGTTAAAAAATATGTTAACGTTCAATCTGTATTCATTATATGTTATATTTATATTTTCGATCAAATCAATTGCTGTTCATTTTCCGCTAGAGTAGTTGGGCCACTTGAGCTGATTTTGGTTTCGAAATGTTTGTCGTAGTCCAGGGAAGGTTTAAACGGAGAGAGGTGATTCAAATTACACAGGGTCATCTAGTTTCGAATAAACATACCTACTTAGGTTTTCCTACAATCCTATTACATGATGAATATTTTAAAGCAAACTTTATAATTGACTAGTTTTCAGCGTTAGCGTCTGTGGAGAATAAAACACTTTATTTAGTTTAGTACAAAAATTAAAACTAACAATAATAAAATCTACTAAGATGTATTTTAATTATAAAGAAAAAAATAAAAAATATTTATTTATTTATTAAAGATACTATAAATGAATATTTATATCGATATTGCTATGGCCATCACTAACTATACCCCTCGTAGCCGTCCTCTCGCAAATTATACCCTACATCGCTCACTCTTACAGTTTACACCTCTCGCTCGTTTTGCAAATTTATATGAATCATTATTGGCTTGAATTATAGTACAGAGTTATGTTCAAGGGACCGGCAAGTGTAGAGATGTGCGAAACATTAATTTTTATGGATAACTCAAAATGGACACTGGATAAAAACTTCATCTCGATGTCCCAAAATTTACTGTGTGTATTGAAGACTTCAATAATTTGTGATAAACAAAAATGACACAATTTATTGTTTATATTTCTGTATAATTACGTAAAATTTACTTATATTTTAATACATTATAATTTAGCTTTTTTAGGGTTTCGTACTCAAAGGGTTAAACGGGAATACCATTACTAAGACTTCGCTATCCATCTGCCTGTCACCAGGCTGTGTATATCATAAACCGTGTAAGTTAGGCAGTTGAAATTTTCCGCTTCAACAACCAATACTAAAAGTCAGAATAAAATAAATATTTAAATGTGCTCCCATACACAAAACGTGTTTTTTTTGCTTGTTTTTGTTCGATATTGATAACTACGACAGGTAGACTTGAAATATTTACCGATTATGTATTTGTAATACAATACAATACTCTTTGTTGTTCACTTCTCACTCAATTGATTGTTACAAATTTATAGTAAATTAACACTATTATGTAACATTTGGCAGCCTTATCGCTTAAAGCGATTTCTTCCAGGTAACCAGTAGATGGAGAGAGAGAGAGAGAGAGAGAGAGAGATAACATGAATAATGAAGATAGGGGTGTAAATATTAACAATATCATTGAGGCACATTAATGATTTGTTTTACATTTACATCTATAATAAATGAATAGAATAAATAAATAGTATACATAAATATATTCATTAATAAAACGCATACATACACACATATATAAATATATACATACAAATACTAATATCATAAAAGGAAAAAGCGACAATACTTTAAAAATAAACAATTAAACTTAAACAAATATTTAAGGGGCCTCATATACAACAAATGTGATAGAGTATGCTATTGCTGAATCTGAAAGCCTATCTTAATATATTGCTTCCGATTTGATTGATTTTGCCCGGTACCAAGGAACCTGAAGCCATTGCAGTAACGCGGTATGGCTCTGGATGGATTAGCGCAGATCAGTGTGACTAATGGATTTACTTGTAAAAAATTACAAATTCCCGATTCAAAAATCACTTTAATAACTTTAATTTTAATTTTTAAAATAAGAATAAGCTTGGCTAAACAAAATCATCAAAGCTCATTGTAGTCTCAAGGTTGTAATTTAAAGAATATTTGGGTTGGGTTGATCTGTTGGGCTTTTATTTTTTTATTCATACCTTTTTTTATTTCTTATATAAAAATATATATCTCAAAATTACCTTGATAAAAGAGGCTATCTATAAAAAAACTTTAATCAAATCGGCCACAACTTACAACCTAGTTTGCTGTAAGTACAAATAAAATAAAAAACGTAGCTACTTCGTCTTGCAAAGTACCTGCAGCTCCTGAACTACTTATCCAATTTTCATAAAACATTTCATAAACAGCTGGAAACTACCGTATTGAACAAGGCTTTCGAAATAAAAAAATCTGCACATAAATCGGTCCATTACTTCAGGAGCTATGCTGCCACCGATGAACAGACACGTCAAACTTATAATACCCCTCTTTTTGGGTGGGAGGATAATTTTTTTTTTTTATTGGCGTATGCAAATCTGGTTTTTTTATTGGCGTTGCCAGAGTCATTTACCATCGACTACGATACAATACTTATAATAAAATTTTATCATATTCATTGTACTATATTACATAGGTACTAACTTTTATCCATCAAAGAAAACCGCATCAAAATCCGCTGCAAACTTTTAATGATACAATACATATAAAATAACTTAATAATTGTTTTCGAACCTGTTTTCCTTATTTTTATATTTTTCTCTATCAAAATATTATAATTTTCAAAAGTTTAACAAATAATCAGTTAACAGCCACATCCAACGTTTCTGATCTGAAAGGCGTATAGTACATCAATAACGTGTAGAGGTGTTATCAAGTTCCTTTTAGTTTCGGTTAGAAACCTTTCTTCGATGTTCCCTGCTTGTAGGAATATTTGTAAAACTCATTCTTGGAATCTTCACTTCAAATGCATGGGAAAAACATTTTTTAACAAAGAAAATATAATCATTTTATTTGCACGTAATTTGCTTTGCATATCCATATAAAAAAAAAAAACGTTGTAATGTTGATGATATCTTTGATTTGTATAAATCGTAGCTGGTCGTAAAGTAACTGAGAAAACTTCCCTCAATCTCATTGATATTCTATGATGCGTTAAAAATTATGATAATATTGATTAAAAACTATTTGATCTTGAACTTTATTCTAGGACCAGATGTCAGACTTCATCTTGATATTTCTAGAGTTGGATTTATCATAGACATAAAAGAAGAGATTTATTAAATCCAAATATGACAACCTTCAGTGTTCTATAAAAATGTGTCAAATTAAATTCTCTTACGGATTTCTTGTATTAGTCTCATTATTAAACAGTATTAAGAGCGACATTGGAGTTATTAAAGAACAAAGGAAAATTGCATCAAGACCTCAGCCCGAAAACAATTTGGACAAAACTCCGGGTGAGTCCGTAATTACAACGGCTATTACTGAGGACGATGAAAAATTTGATGATAATGAACTTGGGAAAGTTTTTGCGCAAAATTTGAAATTATATGAAAATTTGGAGAACGAAAGAAACGCGAATGGTGCCGTTGAGACTATAAGAAAAACAAGGGAGACCATGAATGTTACGTTAAATCCGGAACTGGAATGCCTTTCGTGTTACGCAAATATTTCGAATTCGAATGAGAAGTGTTATAAAGGATCGTAAGTAAATTGAAATTATTTATAACATTTGATCAATTATGCATTCACAATGCTTTGCTGAAAAATATTCTTAATTAAAAATGCTTAAAAAATCCACTTTGTTCTTGTTACTCCGAGATGGACTTGAACCCACGGATTTTTTAAGCATTTTTCATTAAGAAATTGAAACTCTTAATATGTAGTCATGTGGGGAACGAAATGCATTTTCGATTAAAACCTCTGCAATAGAGAACAACAAGAAGAACGAAAGAAATGTAATATATTTCAGATTATTAAACTAATTAGGATAATCATGCGACCTGGAACTTTGGCTTCTGTGTTTAAAGTCATTTAAGGAATTACTTACAGTGTAGATATTATTTTTCTCTATAAATATACTAATATTATTTGTTTGTTTGCATCGAATAGACTCCGAAGCTACAGGACCAATTTAAAAAAAAACTTAATTTTAAAAATTCGTAGTAGTACATCATACGGGGTTAGCTCAAGCTATAATTTACGCGTTGTTGAAGTCGCGGGAATATAGCTAGTATTAGATAAACATGAAGTCAATATGACCATAGTAGTACCTAATACTTTAAAGATTTATGATGTGGAAACATTGAAAAAAGCTTTAGATCAATTTTTATATAAGTTAGAAATGAATAAGTACGTATAGTATTGGCGCAGGCTTTTTGAGATGATAGTATTTTGTTATTCAAATATTCACACCACTCACGCATATTAAGATCAATTTAAAAGACATATTTTTTTTCTTCTCGATTGTTCAATAGGACTGGTTAACTGTTAACTTAATTACGAGTTTTTTGGACCAGTTTGTCCAGACTATTTTGATGGAATATGAATTAGGATAATGTACTATCATGGAACCAATTTAGTATAGTATAGTGCCAGAGAACCAGAGTCAATCTATTAATATGCAAGGCTAAATGTTGAAGTTATTTTTCGATATTATTAATTTTGTAGCGTACGATCAATCAAATGTGATGAAGGGGAGGAATGTTACTCAGAAATCCATCCGTTATATATAAAAAGAGGTTGTACCATACAGAGTCGCATCAACAGGACTTTTGTGTGCAAGTGCCCTCTTTGTAATGATAAACCAGCCGCTGATAAATCATTTTACAATTATAAATCTCTCGATGAATGGCGACTGGACAACATTATTTTGCAGAAACCTTTAATAGGTATCGATATTATGTGTAAAGTTTGCGCTACACATGGCATGAACGGTATTGCTGACCAGAATTGTAGATATGGTCGAAAGTGAGTATTACTGATTAATTAATAAAAACACATATTTTTAGATGCTTTTAAGTTTATTTAGCAATTATTTTATCTTGGTGTTGGCGTTGCATGATTGATATAATAATATAAATCAATAATAAACATTCGGTAAGGTCATCCATACATTAGCAGATCTGAGACGACAATATAGGAAAGTTCACTTTCTAAATTTGCCTAATTGGGAATCGAATGTGGGACTTCAGATATGGGGACACTTTAAAACCGGCATGCAAGTCACCCAACTACGAAGTTCGTCGAGTATGTTAAGTTTTGAAAATAAAGATAATTAATGATGTTTTCAAACATATACGATTAGCTAATTTCTTTTGCGATGTAGCAACTTTAAAAAAGGTTGGTAATCTTATTAGAAAATTATTCTTCTGGAATATAGAAATTTAAACATATTTACACTTTCAAGATTTGATTTCTTCAAATTCTTATTATATAAAAGTATAAATTTGTAAGTAATTGACTGTGAAAGATAGGATTCGTACCATGGTATTTCGTGTTTCAGATGACTGCTGCTCTAATTATAGAGCTATCAGACTATGATTGCCACTATTGATTAATATCAGCGTATTTATTCTTAAATATAAATATAGGTTTATTGCACTCTTAAATATAAAACATGGCATCTGACATGATTAAACAATTAAAACGCTTTCTTTTTGAAATAGTATAAAACATAGTTGTATAATAACACTTAAAAACGTAAAGTATAAAAATAACTATCCAGAGTTAATAAACTTTACGATTTACTTAAATCGTTATCTTTAATATTTTAACTTTGATTACCCGAAGGTTTATCAAACATGCAAACTTGAATCAGTATGTTTAGTGTCAATCTTTAATTGGTTTTCTATAAAATGAGCTTTTACAATTTCTAGTTGTACTCAATACGTTATATCTTATAGTGTAGACTTGTATAATGCAAATTTAAAAACTTAGTGCATCACTAATATGATACCATTTTAAAAGTAAGAGTTTTACATCAATTTTGCGCTTTTTGAAATTTAGTAGTCTGAAATACATCGCAATACGTAGGCTATTAGAAAATGCAATATTTATGTAATCAACATTCAACTAATTATGGACATTTTAAGGCATAAAATTTATAAGAGGAATTTGGCTTTTTTGGTTTACTGACGCTGTCAACTGTGCAGTCAACAATTTCAATTCACGATTGGCAAATTTCTCTTCTTGATTTGAGACTTTAATTCGTACAGGATAGAATTGAAAATCAAATGTGGAAATAGGCATAGTGTGGTAACCTGACTTGCTGCTGTGTGTATTATGATAAAAATATCTGCGTAGTGCTTATACACGTGAGGGAAGTTTAAATAATTTTCTGCAATTTAAATTTTAAAGCGAACTCATCTTAAATTTATATTTTAGCGCAGATTACATGATATGTGGCCACGGTCAAATATGTTACATAAATATTGATGATAAAATATACTACGTGTCTCGTGGTTGCACTTTAAGACCAGCTTATAATTCATGGTACCATTTTTGCAAGGAAAAGAGATGTAACAACATAAAATATACAAACCCTAAAGGGTTATTTACACCAGAACTTCTTTTGAGCAAAATTGTACCATCTTTTAGAAGTTTATCGATCGCAAAAAAGTTGAAAAGTGATTGGCTTCTCGTCTTATTAACACCTACTATAATCAATTTTTGACAGTAACTTCTATGGAAATATTTGACACTGCATTTCAATATGACGTTTCTATTTGGTCAAATGCAAATTATACTCTGCACTGTTTTATATTTTATTTATAAAGTGCATTGTGAAGATACACCTGTAAAAAGTAAGAATCCTTTGCCATATTTTAGAAGACAAGTAGAAGAAGTTACTGATAATTTGGCCTTAAAAAAAGAATTAAATGAAGATTCGCGCAGTAATTTAGTATCACTTCTCATTAAAAATGCCAAAGAAATATACAGTGAGCTGGATGAAGCTAATACAGAGACCTCTACTACTGTGACACGTACTACTACTACGTGTACTAGTATTGTTACCTCTTGGGCCCTATTTGATAACAATACTATTGATAATATAACCTATAATGATCTTATAGGACATACAATTGCTTTTACTATTAAAACCACCAATGACACAAATTCAACTTCACGATTCCAACCAATAGAAACTATCACAAATAAAACAAGAATTATAGTGGATTTCGATTCCGATAATCATGAAATTGCAAAAGATAACGAAATTCTAATATCTTATAAAAACGCTACTTTAATGTCATTTTCTGATATAGAATTAGTTAATATGGACATTGCAACAAATGCTTATGAGCTCGTTGAAAAGGATGAATTGATGCCTTTATCGAAAAATTTAATATTGTTTGAAACAGATCCTAAGGGACGAGATCAAAAAAAGGATGAGTTAAGCGGCCAAAATGTAACTGTGGTTGATCTTAATTATTTTGATAGAGTGCGTTCATGTATATATTGCAATAACCTTGAGATGGAAAGCTGTAACGATCCTAAAAATAGACTGTGAGTATATCATTCTTTAATTTTTACTATAATGTCGTTTGAGCTGTTTTCACCTTATGTCTTAATATTAACTTTTTGTTTAACGATATCCATCTTTCAGAATACCATCAAGAGTATGCGAACGTGATGACGATTTATGCTATTCACTGCACACTCCGTTTGGCGTAATAGATCGCGGATGTTTCAACGTAAATCACAACCTCACCACCTACGTCTGCTCGTGTAATCTATGCAACTACATATCAATTTCTGAAATGCCGTACATATTTTCGAAGAAGCAAGACTGGATCGATAATGTAATTGAACTCGCACGTATGAGGAAATTCAGGCGATCAGTAATGAAGGAGATGGCTTGTTTGAAATGTGAAGCTAATTTGTCCTTGAAGAATTCAAATACTTTGGAAACTTCTAATTGCTTACATGGCAACTTGTGAGTGTGAAAGAAATTATTTTGACATACGTAACATGTAAATATAGATGCATTTCAGGATACAATAATATGTCAATTTTCTGCAATGGATATTGACCTCTAACCTTCAATACATTAAAGTTTAAAATCAATTAGGAAAATTTGACAGTTTTGTATAGTCTGTCGTGCATTAGACTGTAAATTAATTATTAAGTATAATTTTCTAGTAAATTAATTTACTGTTTTTTCTTTTCTGTATTCTATTTGCATTGGGTTATCTTAATCATTTATTTGTGTACTTGGAAGTGTTAATATTTAATAATTGAGGAGCTTAATGGTGCAGTGGTTAGTGCTTTCGGTTTGCAATGTCGCGGTAGACTAACATTTTTCAAGGGCCGGTCATAGGATGGGAGACCAAAAATTTATTACCTCGAACTCCTTCGACCTTCGGAAAGCATATAAAACGGTCTATTATCGGTCTTATTTGATACGTAATATCCAAAAATCATATTTGTTAATTTTTCAGGGGTACCGTGCCTACAGAATACTGCGACAGAAATGAGGTATGTGGAGTAAAAGCAATTAGAAAGGAAGGCTATATTTGGCGCGGTTGTTTAAAGTTCCCATCATTCAATTACTGGTGGACACTATGTGATAATGACTTATGCAACTATGAGAGTGTTGCATCCATTTATGATACTGATTTATCTACAATAATTTAAACATTTTTATATGGTATATATTTTATGAAATAACATATTTTTGTGTTAATGAAAGTAATGAAATCTAGTTCGATTTAAATGATATAGTTTTATAACAAGATTTACAAGAACATTGCGTAGATCTTTGAAAAAGCATTTAATATGAATAAAAAATATTTCTTAGCTCTTTTTTAATAATTTTATTTATTATGATTTATTGAAATCAATGCATCAAAGTGCTGTATCATGATATGAGTATAAAAGTAGTTAGGATTATATAGATCTCCGCAGTTTGCAGGTAGTCAATCTAATTGAATTTCACGGTCTTGGATATTCTCCCTTTGAAGGTTTCCATATGATGGAAACTCATCTGAACTAAAACTCCGAACCGCTGATCTGGAATCAACATTAAATTTATTACTTCTCTTTCATATTATTATGAAACTAGAAATATTAAAATTCCTTTTAGTTTTTAGAAGTTGTACTTAAACATATATTTTATACTATTTTCCTATTGTACTGATTTTAACAATGGACTAATTTAGATCGTCAGATGTATTTTGGGGGACGGATTTTAATCATTTATATTTAAAGCTAGAATGCAGTATTCCATTGTAGTCATGCGTGTCTAGGGCTGAATCTTTTAAAAAGTAATGAGCTTTATTAGACAACTATATTATTCATTCCGTTAGTTCAATAAATTTAATCTGTATCACAAATTTCGTTCACCAAACTAGACGATCTATACTTCAAAGACCTGTTCCATACATATTTCAAAAGGCAATATTTCCCAAACTATTATATTTCATACAATATTTCAAAATGCTGACACTATATAAAAGGTATCTTACGTTACCTGGAGCTTTGCCCAGATGAATTATACTGGCATTCGGCCAAGAGAAATGTTAAGTTACACTTAAATTCAACCTTGACCTTTTCCACACAAAGTTTTTTTTATTACATACGATTTTGTGACCCAAACTAGAAAAATCTAAAGGTTTTAGATTGGATTGTTTTTTATAAAAGGAACTCAAACACAAAAGCTGAATGATCCCTTCTAGGATAAGATTTAATTTAATGTATTTATATTTTTAGGCTTCTATTTCCAAGGTACAAAATACTTAATGAATAGTATTTCTTTTTACACGACTACCTAATATACCTATGTATTTATTTTATTCTACAATAACTTTTGAAAGATTTAACAGATATGAATATATAGGTATTATTTAGATTATTTGTATCATTAGAAACATAACATCATCTTGGGTGACATTGGACATATATATTTTTTATATTATATATGGCGGATGAATGACGCCATTTAAAAAAATACGAAGATAAATCTTTACTATAATAATTTGGATCTCAAATAAGAGGTTTTGATGAGTAGATTCCAAAAATGTATAATTTGTATATACAATTTGGTGCTCACTTAAAAGAACAAAATAAATAAGTTACTAAAAAAAAAAAATACTAAAAACACAACTACCATAATCAAACTTAAATGAAAGATACAACTGGTATTATTATATACTAGCTGTGCCCGCAACTTCGTCTGCGTGGGAAGTATTTTGGTAGAATTCTTTTATTCCTATGAATGGAGTCGAATCGAATAAGATCAATGGGCCATAACCCACTGTGCTAAATTCGGATCGGTGGGTGTTCACGTTGCTGATGCAGCCAGGACTAACGGCTTAACGTGCATTGTGCCAGTGCTGTGCACAGTGCTCAAGATAATAATGTTTTGGTCACCCATCCTGTCCTTACGAATGTAATTTTTCTATCTTTTCGTTTCTCGCGCTCTGGTTGTCGTTTGTGTCTGAGAATTTTATTCGTACCTAAAAACTGTCCTCCTTTTGTTTTTGATATTTTTAATTATTATTATTTGTCTAGTTGTAGGCACAATTGGCTATTTATTGCTCTATTTTCCATGTAATGCTAGGTTGCCTGGAAGAAATCGCTTGCTAGCGATTAGTTTGTCGTTTACACTTAGTTATGTAAAATAAGTATTCAAGTATGTCCTTGTTTATTTCACTGCAATTTAAACCGAATGCGTTAACCCACTATGCCATAGGACCTCTTGTACCTAAGATATATATTTATATTATAAAGAGGAAAGATTTGGTTGTTTGTTTGTTTGTATCGAATTTGCCCCAAAACTACTGGACCGATAGTTTCAGAGCGATTCTACCTACGGGAAGCTACATCACGGATGACATAGGCTATAATTTTGCAGCAAAGTTGCGGGAAAACAGCTAGTTCATTATACCTTGTGAAAACTCATCTGCGGTAACCCTGTGGAGTATGAAGCCAACACGGGTTGGCGATAATCGAAACTACTTTCTCGATCTCTATTGTGTAAACTGCGAGCTCTTTCAGAGACCAAGCGCATTTCTCTATCAAAGGAAGTTTCATACTCATACCATACTGCATGTATGTTACGGTTAGCAGTTAGACGCGCTATGTGATCTTCAGAAGTTTCCTGAGATCAAACGCTTGTTGTATGAGTTCTCCGAGAGCTCAAGAGATTATCCCTGACGGTAAATGCTTCAGATTCAACTTTATAGTGCATGAGCCTCTCGATGGGTAACGCTTCGCGTTATACAGGTGTTTTCGTAGACCGAACGCTTTCCGTCAAATCTCTTTCTTTGTCAATAAAAGTCGGTCGGTACATGTCTGACGGAAGATACGTTGAGTTTTATTTATTAATGATAATATTTTAATTTCGACTTTCCACACTCGAAGGAAATCGTCTACTAACACGTACTTCCGAGAGGTGTTTAACTGAGCTTAAGTCAGATTTGAACGGTCCTCAACATCATCATCAGCCGTTTTACGTCACCAACAGCAGGAGCTTTTTGGATTAAGGAGGATGGGCCACGACCTTCCATGCTGGCCCAATGCGAATTGGAGGATATCAACGACTGCAAATACAACCAGGACCAATCGTTTTACGTGCCTTACAAAGCTTGGAGTTGCTTGAGATAATATTTTTTGATCACCCATCCTGTGACCGACCTTTGTGGAAGTTGCTTAACAACTACAACGCGAGCCATGGTGTTTATTCTACTACTACGCCACCGAGCTACTCTTAACCGATCCTCAGACTCGCGTAATATTATATGTGTTGTGACAAATGAATAAACCATTGTTTCCGGCGAAGACTGAAAATACCAACTTTGAAGTACGTATCTACAGCAAATTTGTGTGTTAAAAAAAATCAAAAGTAGTATTATTATTACATAAAAATTGTAATAATAGAAAAAAAAATCAATCGAGTTGTCTTTACCTTCTTAACTTCAGTTGACGTGAATCTAACTTTTTTAACGTCGTGGAAAAGCTTCTGACGTTGTCTCTGCTACGGAGCAAGCAACAGGGGGTGAGTAGAATTCTCCTCCGTGAACCCGATAGTGAACTGCCCTCGGTAGCGTAGTCGGTAAGCGCCGCGGCCCGCGATCGTTTTCGTTAAGCACCTTTCGCAAGGGTCGGTCACGGGATGGGTGACCAAAAAATTATTATCTCGAGCTACTCCGTGCTTCGGAAGGCACGTTAAGGCATTGGTCCCGGCTGCATTTGCAGTCGTAAATACCCTCCAATCCGCATTGGGCCAGCGTGGAGGGTCATGGCCCATCCTCCTTAACCATCCATAAGGAAGGCCTGGAGCCCTGCAGTAGGGACGTAAAAGGGCTGATGATGATGATGACACCGTCTCATGGGAGATGAAACCCGGCAAGCTATGGCCGCGTTATCAGAACACTCAAGTATTGGACTTGACATTGGTCCCCTTGTAGATGGAAAATTGGAGAGACTCGGGTAAATCGAGTGCCTCTCCCAGACAGACGAAACCGTGCAATGCGGGGGCTGCCAACCACCTCCGCTGGCCCCGACGACGACGTGAACCTAATTTGATAAAAATATGCGTTCACTGTAAACTACTTGCATCATCGGAAGGCTCTTTTCGCTTGTTCTCCTACTCGCGTGATCGTATACCACACGTCCATTATAACCTGAACCCTATTTATATTACATTGGCCATTTATAAATGAGATCAACTTACTTTGGAGTTCTCAAATTTTGGAATCTCTTTTTTCTTTTTCATCATACAAATTATCATTTTATAGACAATATTAATTCGTAGCTCTGTGGCGCTACGGATAAGCGCCACTGGGCACGATCGATATTGCTAAGGAATTTTGGCAAGAGTTGTTCACGGGATGGGTGACCAGAAATTATTAAACAAATGCCTGAGGCCCTGCAGTTTGGCTGTTAAAGAGTTAATGATGATGATCAATATATCAAAGACGAAAATTTAATAAAAAAGTTAATATTTCATAGCAATTTTGGCGAACACGTCACTTCAAATTGACATAACTTTTTTATTTGTGAACCGATTGAAATAAATCTTACACTAAATGTTAACGGAAGAATACCACAATATAATAGTAAAAATTGCATTTAACTCGGTTCAGCCGTTTCTGAGATTATCGTGCACAAACGCACAGACAAACAGACAAACCGACAAACAGACAAAAAATTTAAAAATCATTGTTTTGGGTTCTATTACGCTTATAAATGTCCCTTATAACAGTTTTTTTCATATATCTTCAATGTACAGACATCGATCGGTTACGTTTTTATTATAGTATAGATTAAAATTCTTATTGCAATCAGGGGAGCTATATTTTTCACAGAACGGTCACCCATCTGCAATAAGAATTTAGTCAAGCCAGAATACAAATTCTTTCTTTTAGTTTGTTTTCGGCAGCCATCTTTTTAAATTTTTAAATAATTTATTTTTTTAGTCATAAGATTTTATTAAGAAACTAACAGGAATGTTTTAGATATATAAGCCACTATT